CCCCCCCCACAGCCCCTATGGGTGGGGGGCGGGCACTGAAGAAGTGCACTTGCAGTTCTCCCCAGTCTCCAGGCCCTCAAGAGAGAGCAGCTTCCAAGCGAGATTGGGCTGGGGTTGGGGGGGGCGGGCGGGAAGGAGAGGCCGAGACTGGTTGGAGAAAGGGGGAAGGGAAAAGAGTGTCTTGACTGATGAGTCAGAGTCTGCAAGGGGGAAAGATGCCTTGCGATTCTCTCCTCCCCAGTCCAACCTGGCGGTCATTCCACTGCCCACCTCCCCTCAGCAAAACGCAGATCCCAGGCCCTTAGGCGGGGGAGGGAGGGGACTCCACCTAATTAACCCTTTTAGCTCTAGTCTCAACTGATTTAGCAGGCAAGGGGGAGTCAGTTTAGGGAGGAGGCGAATCGAGGGGTTGCCACAAGAATTAGGCTAGTGCTTCTTTTCTCCACTCAAGCTGGGGGTGGAGGCGTGTAACTAGAAGCCTCCAGAGTAAGACTGGGGTCTCAGCACAGCATGGGTAGGGGGAGGGCAGTCCCCCTTCCCTCCCTAATAGCTGCCGGGGGGTGGAGAAAACATCTCACAGCCCACCCTGGCTCCGCCTCCCCCAGTCCTGGCTCCCGCTCCGGCTCAGCTACGCTCCCAACTCGGTGGCGCCCGGAGAGCGGACACTGAGTGTGAGACTTCGCCTCCTATCCCTCCCCTTCGCCCTCCCTCCGGGGTCTCTGCCTCCGTCTTTTTTAAAAGCTGCGTCACATGCATGCCGTTCCTTGAAGGCTCCCAGCCCCTCGCCGCCCGCCAGCCGTGCGGCGCACGCACGTCGTCTCTCGCTGCGCGCCCGCCCGGGTCACTTTGACACGGTTCTCTCCTCCCACTAGCAGGCAATTAGCATATTAATAAAGCTCGGCCCAGCCGGAGGAGCGCTGGAGAGCGGGCGCCTACGGGAGCGGGAGGGAGGAGAGCGAGAGGGAGAGGGGGGCAAGCGGCGGCAGCGTTGGCGGCGGGAGCGCACAGACACGCACACGCGCACACACGGACACACACTTGGGGGACGCACACCCGCGTGCACACACGCAGCGGCAGCTCGCCTTCCTTCCTGGCTTCCTTCCTGTCTGCTCCGCGCCTGACAGGCCCCTTCGCTGCAGCCAGGGCCCGCCCGCAGCGGTCGGAGGCTGGGCCGAGGCCGGACCAGACAGGCAGCGAGGGTGGCGGAGGCCGCGGGCGGCGGCGGCAGCTCATGCCCGGCCTGTCCCCGCGCGGGGCAGGCACTGTGACTCGGCTGGGCCCCCAGCGGCGGGCGATGTGAAGATGTCAGTGGGCTGTGCCTGTCCTGGTGAGTAGGGCGCGCGGCCGCCCGGCCCCTCCCTCCCTTCCCTTCCCTGCCGATCCGTCACCCCTTGTTTGGCGAGAACTTGTGTGGGGGGCTTCGATGGCATGGCGGAGGTCGGGGTCTGTGAGGAGTATGCGAGGCCTCAGTCTGGGGGAGGGTTTTCCACAACTGTGTAAATGCGCATCAACCTAGAGGCGCAGGGAGGGGTTGCTGGGGATAGCTGGTGTGTTTGTTTTTTTGGAGGGGGGGTGCTAATTGGGGAGAGGTTTGGGGGGCTGAAATTCCCAGAATTCCACGGTGTTAGCCAATCAGAAGTGAGTCTGGACTTTTGACCCCCCCCCTCAGGTCATCATAGAGTTGTGATTGGCTAGTTTGGGTTACCCCCCCTTCCCTGCTGCCTATTCCCTCTTATATTCTGTGACACCCCCCCTCCAAGCTGTTTTTGAGGACTGTGTTTGAGGGCAGAGATTCTTTGGGGCCCATCTTGCCCCCCTCTAAATTTTCCTGCCTGTTGCCAGGGAAGGTTGGCCCTCCTGAGGAACAGGAGGTACTCCTGGAGGGCGCAGATAATTGGGCCCTGGGGTCTGGTATCTGCCCTGGTGAGAAGGATAATGTGGCAGCCCCAGGCAAGCTAGGAACCAGAGTGATTTGTGAGAGTTAAGGTGAGGGGAGCAATGCTTGACCCCAAAGTGAGAATTTGAGAGAGGACTTAGACTCAGATCCCTACCTCACCAAAACACATTTTGCTCTTGCCAGTCACAGCCTGGGTCTGAGTTCTTTCCTGGAGAGGGGAATGTTCTCTTTCTCACTGCCAGAAGGAAAGACAGAGGCGTGTGACTGGAAATGTAGTCTTCGGAGGACCTCAGAACACTATCTGCATCCCCAGGACTCCCCAGAACTCTAGGTTCTTGAATTATCTGCAGGACCTTTTCCTGTCGCAGGCTGTAGATAGCTTTCTTTTGGAAGTCAGGTGTCCCTGAATCTAGCCTGATTTGGATCCTTTGCCCCTCTAGATGCCCTGTTTTCTGGGAGGCCCATACCCCACAACTGCCCCCCCCCCCCAATCCCCAAGGGAAGCTACCAGTGAGGAAGCTTCCTTGAAAATCATGTGACCCAGGCCAGGCTGGGCTGGGCACACACTTAAAGTGCCTGCTGAGGCTAACGTTTAAGGGGCCTGGGCCTGGGGGAAGGACAAGTTGAGCTTGAGGATCCTGGAATATTTGGGTGTGGGAACCTCTGGCTCCTGCTGCAGAGGGTGGAGGAGAGGAGAAGAAAGAGCTTACTAAGCTGGAATGCTGCCTGGTCCCATCATTCCTCCTCCTACCAGCTTGGTGTGCATATTTGTGTGTGTATTTTCTTCTTTTTAATTGCCCCATGCTGGTTACCCTGTTTGAATCCATCCATGCTCTTGAGTCTACCCCATGGTCTTGATTCTCCATTGCCACACGTAAGCATTGCAGAAACTAAGGCTCTGGACAAGCTAGAGAGCCAAATCTTACATTTCGATTCTTAGTTCCTACAAATAGTGGGCAGGAGGTGAGTGTGGAAGGCTTGTCAGATTGGAGGTAGATGAGAGGTTGGCCTGGAAGTTGGGTCATTGGTGCCTGGGTCTAGTAGGAGAAGGGAGAAAGTTTTCCCCTCAGTCTGGGAGTAGCATGGGGACAGGAAGAAGACCCATGCACAGGAGTGTGCATGAGAGTGGACAACTTCAGTCAGTGCCCTTTTGTGTGTCTGGTGGCCTGGTTGGAGGAGAGGGGGCAAAAGATGGCTTACAGTGGGGAATCTTTTTTCCAAATGTGAAGAAGTCTCATGGTTTGATGCCATAGAGGATAGGTGGAGGTTAGACTTTAAGGAAAACCACATAGGGGAGGGGCTTGAGAGTGGCCTGGGGGTCGGGAATGGTAGGAGTTGGGGTAAAAGAGAGGACCAGGCTTGCATGGGTGGGTGGGAGCACATGGTTGAACACAAGGGCATCGCGGCAGTATGTACAGTCCAGACAGAAAGGATACTGCCCCCACCCCCCACCCCCAACCTGAGCAGCCCTAGGGTGAGGGCCCAGGCGCCCTGGCAAGCCGCTTGCCTGCTGCCTGCCTGCCTGTCTGAGTCTCTCCTTTGTGCTCTGCTGTCTCCCAGCTCCTCCTCCTCCTCCCCCAGCCCGGCAGAGACAGCACATGCCCCACACATGTGACTAAGGGAAGCCAGAGCACACGTAGACCCACATACATGCACACGCAGAAGGGAACACCACAAGATACACACACACACACACACACACACCCAGCTCCCATAGTGCTCCTGGGGTAGGGAATAGCTTCTGGGGCTTTGGTCAGGAACAGGGAGAACCTCTGCTAAGGGGTATCACCCCAGGCAGGGCAGGTTGCTGAGGGGGCCAGGGCCTGTCTGGGGCAGCATGTGGCTCAGAAGGGTTAAGACAGGGAGGAGTAGGGGGAGGGGAGGAGGCAGCAGTGCTGGCGGCTGGGAGCCAGGAGAGGAGGATGGCAGAGCGCCAGGCCAACGGGAGGCCGGGCACAGACAAAGGAAGGGGGGCAGGCACACTGGAGGCCTGGGTCAGGGAGCCCCAGGGGCCCGGGCAGGGGGGCAGTGCTCTACCTTATCCTGTGGGCTGGGGCAGGCTGCTGGCCTTCAGAGTCCCCACTTCCAGGAGGGGTGCTCTCCCTCTTCTCTCCCTCATCACCTTTGTCATTCTTTGCTGCTTCCTACTCCCTCCACCCCAATTTTAGAGACTTCTAATTCAGACCTGCTCTCTTTAGCTGGACCTCTTCTGCCCCTGTGCAAGTAGGGGAATTAAGTCAGAACTGAGAGAGGAGCAGACGTGCTACAGAAGGGGAACTAGGAGGGGGCCCGTTTTGAATGATATACCAGAGTCTTGGTATGTCTTGGTATTTAGAAGCCCTTCTTCCCGAAATTTGAGAAGAATGACTGGATAGGTTTCTGAGCTCTGAACTGGGGGCAGAAGCCAAAGCACTCACCTCTCTCCTTTCCCCTTGTAGACAGTCATTTGGGGCCTAGAATGGCCATTCCTTAGAGGGGGAAGGGAGTAGGAATGGCTGCAGTGCCCCAGGTCTGAGCTTGTATGAGTGGGGTTAGAAATTCAGGATTCCAGCCTCAGGCTCTCCTGTCTCACTGTAATTTTTTGAAGTTAGGATAATATTTGGCTCTGTGTGCTATAAGGATCTCTTGAGGTACTGCCTATGAATGCACTTTGGAAAGTTTAAAGGCAAGAAACAAATGACAGGAGTTGGCCTGTCAGTAGGGGTGGAGTGTGGTCATCCCAGAGCTGGGCTGTAAATTTCGGAGTCAGTGGGAATGTCTCAAGTCCTGGTATAGCCTGAATGTTGTAGGATCTGGCCGAATGTCATAGATTTTGATGTTTGTGAAAGCTGGGATGTATCATGGCCAGGCCACATTTCAGGAAAGATAGTTTATGGGGTCAGTCCTTGGGTAATAAATGGTCAGGGTGTGTATGTAATAGTCTGTCACATGTTCATGAGGTATCATGCAGTTTTGGTGTATATATTGGGATCAAGGGGCATGCATGTCACAGGTCCCAGTGTGTATGAAAGTCAGGGTCTGATATAGATTATATGTTGTGTGTGTATCTTGGATTTGGGTTTATTTAGGGTTTCAGGTGTATCACAGGTTGAAGTGTGTATCAGGTACTAATTTATGTGAAAGAGATGTGTTATTTATGTGTAAAGGTTGTTCATAGAGCCAAGTGTAATATTATTACTGCACAATCAACTGGTGTGTATGTCGTGAGAAATCCTGTTGTGGAGCAATGTGTGAATATGGTGGGGAGGTGGCAAGGAATAGGGAGCAGAGACACAACCTGCAATGATGTAGGTCATACACTGACCTGACCAGTGTGTGTGTGTGTTTCTTTTTTCCTATCTGTCCAGGTAGTAGGGCCTGGACCATTACCCAAGTTTTAGAAACACCCCGTCTTTTGGGACTCTCCCCTTGCATTGGAAAACAGGCCCTACCCTACCCCATGACCTGGGGTTGGGGGGAAGATTCAACAGCAGATCAGTCCCCTTCTGGGGATGCTTGGTTGGGCAAATTTGCCTTCCCTGACTGACAGCACCTCTTTTCCCCTGCACCCACATGTCTGGTGGTGGGGGTGGGGGGCTTCCTGCTAAGGCAGATCTCTATCAGGGCTTGGAACTTAGTTGGGTTGGGGGCAGGGAGCCTAGAGTTTCTCCTCCCTCCAATCAGTGTTTAAAGGCTGAAGTCAGAGTGTGTCTCTGTCAAAAATACCCCTCACCCCCACCCTCCCCCCAGCGGCTTTGGGATTTCACCAGGGGCTTTGGGAATTTCACCAGGAGCAGAAGCCCAGGCTGGCAGCCCAAACCAGTCTGAAACGGAGAGATCACAGGAGAGAAGAAGAGAGATTTGGGAGATTTGGGAGGCGGTTTGAAAATACTGGGAGTCTCCAGAGGAGAGCACCCTCTTCTGTCCCTGCCTGTGGCTTTGGCTACCCTGCTTACTCCTGAGCACCGCCAGGGGCTGGTAGGGGTGCATTCCAGTTCCTGGCCCCCACAGGCCTCCTCTCCATCCAGGTCTCTCCAGGCCTAGTCTGTTCTGTCTCCATCTCTCCATTCCCAGTCTCTGTCTCTCTTTTGTTTTTCTCAGCAGTCCTCCCTGCCTGCCTCCCTCTCTCCCTCCCTCCTTCCCTCTTCCTCTTGCCTCTCAGGGAGGGGGCGGGGCCGGTGGGGGCAGCTCCACCCTCTGCCCGCCCTGGGGCCTCATTCTGAGTGAGCGGGGAGGGAGGGAGAGAAAGGGAGAAAAGGCAGAGAGCCGGCGGGCGCTGCGTGTGTCTGTGCGTGTGCGAGTGTGAGTGAGTGTGAGTGCCGGGCCCTGCCTCGCCTGGTTCCCCGGCTGAGGGGCCTGGTGGCCTGGGGAGGGCGGGCGGGCTGCTTGGAGGCAGAGGCAGTGAGAGGCGGCGGCGGGGCGAGCCGAGGAGGAGGAGGAGGAGGAGAGA